AGACAGACAGACAGACAGACAGACAGACAGACAGACAGACAGACAGACAGACAGACAGACAGACAGACAGACAGACAGACAGACAGACAGACAGACAGACAGACAGACAGACAGACAGACAGACAGACAGACAGACAGACAGACAGACAGACAGACAGACAGACAGACAGACAGACAGACAGACAGACAGACAGACAGACAGACAGACAGACAGACAGACAGACAGACAGACAGACAGACAGACAGACAGACAGACAGACAGACAGACAGACAGACAGACAGACAGACAGACAGACAGACAGACAGACAGACAGACAGACAGACAGACAGACAGACAGACAGACAGACAGACAGACAGACAGACAGACAGACAGACAGACAGACAGACAGACAGACAGACAGACAGACAGACAGACAGACAGACAGACAGACAGACAGACAGACAGACAGACAGACAGACAGACAGACAGACAGACAGACAGACAGACAGACAGACAGACAGACAGACAGACAGACAGACAGACAGACAGACAGACAGACAGACAGACAGACAGACAGACAGACAGACAGACAGACAGACAGACAGACAGACAGACAGACAGACAGACAGACAGACAGACAGACAGACAGACAGACAGACAGACAGACAGACAGACAGACAGACAGACAGACAGACAGACAGACAGACAGACAGACAGACAGACAGACAGACAGACAGACAGACAGACAGACAGACAGACAGACAGACAGACAGACAGACAGACAGACAGACAGACAGACAGACAGACAGACAGACAGACAGACAGACAGACAGACAGACAGACAGACAGACAGACAGACAGACAGACAGACAGACAGACAGACAGACAGACAGACAGACAGACAGACAGACAGACAGACAGACAGACAGACAGACAGACAGACAGACAGACAGACAGACAGACAGACAGACAGACAGACAGACAGACAGACAGAAATTCATTTTTATATATATAGATTAACAATATGATCCATTTATGCCTTTTCCAAATGTTGCAATGGTGACCCGCAAAATAAGTTGAAAAAGGTCAGCAACAATCATTCAATTACAATCGAGGGGTGCGAATATAGCACTTATAAAAAAGTAAGAGTCAAATTAGATTAATTAATTACATTGTGTATATTACTTTAAAATTTGTCTGACATGTCACTGTTGTCATCAAATAAAATAAAATGCTGAAATACATTCATTTGAAATATTAAACAAATTTTCATTTGGTTTACCCCTCGTGACGATAAACAAATACATTGGTAGCCTTTTTGGCCACAGAGGTGCTTTCATCGCTAAAAATTCGGTTCGCCAGCTAAGCGAAAGAGTGGATCATATTGTTAATATAATATATTTGATTTCAATGTTTAAGGCCCAAGCGCAATGTGGACGGAAGCGGAACGGAAACGGAAAGTTTGACAGTTGTCACAAATGACATCAAGAAGTCTAACCAATGTCGATTTGATTCTAACTAGTGCAACTAGTTTTCAATCCGACAAGTAAGCTTACTCAGATCGGGCTTTTCCGCTGCCGCTGCCGTTCCGCTTCCGCTGTCATTGCGCTTGGGCCTTTAACCTTTACTCGTCATTCCCGTTCCAAAAATACCCGTATTGTAGAGTATTTGACAGTTAGCGTTAGCGTTGTTACGGTATACTTCGTAGATTGGACTAGTGACCATTGGTGATAACAATAATTTCTGGATCAACAATAGAAAAGGGCCCATCAGCATTTGTAAACAAACCGTTCCAAAGCCCTTTACTCACAAAGCGAAGGCCACCCACGCAAAACAACACCATCATTGGATAGGGGAAACATCTACCTACACGATGATGGTGTTGGTTTGTGTTAGCGGCCTTCGATTTGTGAGGAATGGGCTTTGGAACAGTTTGTTTACAAATGCTGATGGGCCCTTTTCTATTGTTGATCCAGATTTCTTCTACACTAAAATGAAAATGAAGACAACCTTAACAGATAGACCAACTACCTGTATGAATTCGAAATTTGACATAACAACATTCTCTTGATCGAGGCAACCTCTGAGTGGCGAAGTCAACAGTTGTTTTTCTTTCTTCGTGGCTAGATGTTGATTATCGCCTGTGTTGTTGTCAATATTAATATTCGTCTTCATCTTGGTGGAGATGATTTTGAGGATCAGCTGGAAAATGATTATTTTCATTTTACGCGTCGTGTTGGTTTTTTACAGACAGATCGATGGAAAATGATTGGTTATTAAGGAGATTTTCAGCCAGACGCAGGTTCATCTCCTGGAGATGAAAATTATTGCCTCGTGCTGAATTCTGGATAGAGTTGGAATTAGGACATATCAGCTTTTGTAAACAATGACTTCTCTCGTTGGTTTCTTGGTATTCAAGGCAAGCCTACACAAACCAACATATCCATCGGGTAGGTGAAGTCTTCCCCTACTCGATGGTGATGTCGATTTGCCAGGAATAGAGTCGGTGTATAATGAGTCACGCCAAGAGTGAAGCCAAGTCTACCTATTGAACTGTCAAACCGGCTACCTATCGTGCAAAGTAAACAAGCATTACGATGCTGTGAAAGGTCCACGAAAGGTATTGCAATTAAATATAAAATATAATCGAAGAAATGATCATATACACGCAGTGAGCATTACATTTGTCATACGATACGTTTTGTAATGATCAGTAATGACAATTTCTACTATTTTTCTTTAAGATAATTCGACAAAATCACTGATATAATGATTTACTACAGCCGTTAATTTTTTTCCTCGCTAGAAGTCATTTGAAGTTGATGCAGAAGTCCTCTGTTGCCAAGTTAAAAGAAAGGGAATCTTTCGAAAACCGTGATGCGAGTTCAACTGTTTTTCTCTTGGCGTGACTCATTATACACCGACTCTAGCCAGGAAGAACCACGAGTTTCGAGAAATCATCGAGAGAAGTCATTGTTTCCAAAAGCTGTTACGCCCTTATTCCAGTTCTATTTAGAATTGATTCTAATATCGAGGTTTAAGGTAATCATTTTCTCCTATAGTAGAATCCAAGTGAAATTTATGAGTCACTAGTGGCGTGAAATAGTACTAGTCGTTGGTGATAAATTTATGGTAGCCGGTTTAAATTCCAGAGTTTGAGTGATAAATTATTGAAAAAAGAGTTCAAAATAGTGAGATACGAGCATTACTATGGATGATACATGCAGGAAATTTGTCGAATAATGTAATGTTATATTAATTTTCATTGCAATGTCATTGAAAGATAATGAAAATGCGTTTTTTGATGCACCGATATTAGTTAGGTTATGTTTTGAATGATTGAAATCGACGTCCAAGTCAGTCTGCTGGATATACTGGATGATGTTGGGGACTCCGTGCTAGTGGATTTAGAGACCTAGCATATTGTGTGCCTGGACTATACCAGTAGTTCAGCAGCAAAGCAAGAATTGAGGGGAATGGATTTGTTCTGCAAAGTTCCCATCCCGGGGAGCGGCCACATGAAATTAATCTCAAATTATTTTTTTTTTGCTTTTGAGGATCGTTTCTGATTTTGACATTTTTGGGTTGGACAACCAGTGAGTATCAACGAACGCGTATTCGTTGATATATAATGAATTCATTTCGTCAGTGAGCATGCATAAGGGCGTAAACGCGATGAACGATTCTCTTCGTCGATTTTCATTTTTGTTAATAACTCGCTTGGATTTACGTTTCTCGGTGCGTTTGCTGTTACTTTTGATAGCCAATACAACCTGTTACAACTCTGCATTGAACAAATTCTGGAAAATTGTTTCGCTTAGCTGTAGCAATGCAAAGAGAAAATCGATGAAAATCGATCATCGCGTATACGCCCTTATGCATGCTCACTGTCGATTTGTTCATTTCACTCGTTCGTGACAGCGAAGATTTTCAAATCAAATGCAATTCATCTACGCTGGGTTGAAGCGCTACTCATTGCATGTGATGGTAGATGATAAAAACAGACACTGCTTGGGACACTCACATCTCTTCTGAAATTCTCAAACTGCTGTCAGGAATAATGCTGGGGAGTAAACATTGTTTTCAAACTAAAAAAGAATGCCAAAAGCATGACTGTCTATGTTTAAAGAAAGAGAGAGAGATCAATGTTCCATATCACATAAAAAAAAATTCTATGTCACAGAGCGTCGAGAAATCGCCATCTTGGAATTTAGAAAGCCGGAAGCGTGAATAATGTTATCATTAGGTAGATAACTGATAATCTGACAACTTCGCACAACATTCCAAAGCTCTATCTATCGATCCTCAAAAGTTATAAATCATTGTTGAGTTGCTAGCTACTAGCGACACCCAGCGGTGGAAACCGACAACTATTGTGTGGTCACAAGATAGATAATTGATGGACACACAACTTTGTAGAACAACTTGTAACTTGGTGTAACTCGCAGCTACACAAACAAGTGTGTCTGGACAAACGCATTCCGATCGAAGAACGTTCCAATTAAAGCAAGGCAAGCCTCACTCATTCAACCTCGGTTCTAGAAGCATTCGAATGCAAATCTTCCCATGTTCGTAGGAATGGGACCTCAGGAGCGAGGCTCCCAAATTACGCACATGTGGCATATCGCTTTTCCAGTAGCGACAGATTCCCGTCTGTTCCGAGCGATGTGCCACTGTGTGACATGTTGGGTGTTTTTCATTCATAAAAATCGTTCTCATCGTTTTGATGAATCCAAGCGGGAAAAGGAAAATCGACGGCTGTCTGGAATTACCAGCTTGGGGTCTTCCGTCTCCCGGTTTTTTTTTATGATTTCTGTGTGTGTCAGAAAGTAAATCAGAATTTTCACAAGGCCACCAACAGGTGGCCTGCATATGCCCCGGACTCCGGGGCAGGTTCCCATAAATTATCGCAAATGAAGCTTTTCGCTCCGTTCGTCCCAGATTGCGTAGCTAAATTGTTGCTGTAATTTCTCTAACAAAAATCTTCCTTTGTTTTTTTTCTTTCGTTCATCCCACCAGGAATTCATCTGTGAATGCATGGACAAAATGGAAGCCCTGTTCCAGGAGCAACGCCGCCGGTTTTCGCCGATCATCATCAGCAACAACTCGACGACGGCCCCCATCCTGTCGCAGCACCTCCAGCAGGTGGCTTGTGTGAATCTTAAAAGCAGTTCCACGACTCCGACGGACGTGCAGGACGTTGATTTCTAGCCTTATTCCGGGCCCATCGGTAGGGTTGAAAGGTTTGGCACTATAGTCACTAAACCGCGGGCGTTCTCCTCACCCCGCTACAAACCAATTTTCCTGGTTCTCTCTCTCTCGCAAAGCAAAGCGGAACAGCAGCAGCAGCAGCAGCAGTAGTAGGCGGAAGGCAGAGCGGAAGCAACGTTGAAACTGGAAATTTTAGGTGCTATATTTTTTTACAATTAAATTTAAGACTAAAAATTCGGAAAGTGAGGCCCCGCAGGAGGTGGCGAACCGAGGCAGATGATGCTGGGAATGCATTGAGAGTTACGGAAACCCGTCAGGTCTAAATACTGATATAGAAGACGCATACAAACAAACAAGAGAGAAAGAGAGAGAGAGAGACAGAGGGAAAGATAGAGTTATGTTGGCAATAGTAAGGGAAGATGTAGAAGTATACACAAGAGCAGGTGTAGAAACAGAAACAGAAGCAAGCAGAGAGAAACATAATATTGAAGAAAACCATAAGACCATAAACAGATGTGAGATTGAAAGTGGGTCTAGTTAGGTGAATGCGAATGTGAATGCTGTAGAGGTAAGTGAAGCGGAAGGCAAGGCGTTATTTCATGTCAAAAACTAAGTTAGAAATGTTATATAGGTTAGGTTTTGTACATATACACATACATTTAGGAGTTAGCGCACAACAGTCATTGAAAAACAAACTATCAAACAAACAAAGAATACAGAAAGTGAAGAGAGAAAAGAGACAAGGTGGCATTTGAGAATACAGAAAGCAAATACTAATTGATCGGTGCGCGGTAGAGAGCTGATGTGAGTGGAGGAAAGTCAAATTTACGCACAGAAACATAGAGAACCACAATCTAGTCGAGAGAGAGAGAGAGAGCAATTCGCCTGGAACTGGTTGGGTCGACCCACCGGAAGGGCCCAGTAGGGGCTTGTCTTTGGTTTCCCGATCGCTTCCCAAGAGTGGATCAGCGAACGGAAGAAGAAACCTCGAAGCCAAAAGCCAGTTTCACTAGTGACGGTATCACACGGTAGGATTCCGGAAAGCAATACCAGTACAGCGTTATGTCAGGCACTAGGACAAGCATTGTTTTGAAGCACTCTGTTGCAACGAAGAACAGCTCATGTCGATGCTTCGATGCAAACCCAAATCGTCGGTTTGCACTGAACGATATGACGATATGACGAAATCGAATGGGACTTTCACTCAGAATTTCGGAGAGCGAATTGAAATAATTCAAGACGGTGAGAGTGATGAAATGGATCGGGTTGACCTCCGAGAGGAGCATTCATTCAGAAATAAGTAATATGAGGTTCGGGACGCCCTCTGAAAGAGTGTCATCGAACATATGAGTATTTGCATAGACGATTGAAAAACAAACAAACACCGAAGTGATGATGAAGACATTGATGATTATTCATTTAGAGTAGAGTCTTCGGAGGACCCAAATGACCTCATTACCACAGCATAATTTTGGTTTGGTGAGAGTGCTCAAATGAATCGAGACAATCTCCGAGGGAAACATTCCCCCTTATTCTGCGAGTCACGTGACTCTCTGTCACCAGTGAGGTGACAATTGTCACCTCGTGTGAGGTGACTCTCCATGTAAATCAAATGGAGAGTCACCTCACACGAGGTGACTATTGTCACCTCACCGGTGAGAGAGAGTCACGTGACTCGCAGAATAAGGGGGATTCATTGAGTAATGAGAGGTTCGGGACGCCCTATGGAAGAGTGTAATCGAACATCCTTTAAGAATATTTGAACAGACGATTGATCATGCAGACGGAGTATTCATTTACAGTAGAGTCTGTAGTGCAGAGGACCCAAATGACCAGAATTTTGGTCTGGTGAGAGTGATCAGATGGATCGCGATGACAACTGAGAGAGTGTAATCGGACACCTGCGCTGAAATATATTTAAGAGCGGATTGCAAACGACTTCAGAAAAAGGGCGACGGATCATCGGCTCGAAAACATGAAGCAACATTATTGGGGACGACCACTGACAGAGCGTAATGGGACATCCACTAAGAAATTTGTAGAAGAGGATAGATGGAGGAGTCTACTAGGAAGAATGTGCTTTCCATGGAATATTCACAGTAAGACTGTTCAGTTAAGAGAATCCTCAGATGGATTGGGATGATCTTCGAAAGGAGGATTTATTAATAACTTTGAAACGTGAAAATCGGGACGCCCGCTGGAAACATTGTATTCGGACATCCGCTCAAGAAATGTACAGCACAGATTACAATGACTGCAGAAAGCGGTTGATGGATCGTCGGATCGAAAAGATGTAAGTACATTGATGGGGACGACCACTGAAAGAGCGTATTGGGACATCCACTAAGAAGATATGAAAATAGTGTCCAAATGCGCTCTTTATTTCAGGGAAAATTGTGGTTTAATTAGAGTAATCTGGTAATCTGGAGTAATGAAATATCAATAAGAGGATCGGGATGAAAGCGTGCAATCGGACATCTGCCAAACAATATTTAAAGCAGGATTGCAGCGGCTACAGAAGGAGTGCGATGAATCGCACTCCTTCTGTCCTCGTTAATAGGGACGACCACTGACAGTGTAATGGGACATTCACTAAGAACTTTTGAAGAGATAATAAGGAAAACACATTGATGGAGTACGTCTACTTGGAAGAATATGCGTTCCACGTGTATCACTTCAGTGCAGAGTTCGTAACGGACCTAATTATTTCGGCATTTCGTGCTCAAAGTCCATTTACAGATCTTCAAACTCTAACGCCACTAGTCTTCTCAAAGCATCATTAACGTTGTGTGTAGATACGGATGCTTTCACCCAACAAACAATTTTAGCTGATATGCAGTTTCCGGAAATATAGGAGAATTTCTGGAAGTCGCAGCGCAGTTCCATTGGAAGTCTCATACTGATAAACATTAGATTTCGAATTGTGTGGAATTCGTATAATTCCTGGACTACTCTTGGAACAGTTTGACAAGCTTTGGATTCCATAAATTGAGTAGAAGCTTATTAACAACAAACAGAGGAAGAAGGATAGACGGATTCCCTTCAAAAGTTCTAGGGAGCATCCATTAATTGCGTAACGCTAATTTACCCCCACAGCCACAGATTGCCGGTTAGAATTTTAACAAATACAATTTCCTTCTAAGAACGGTGTGGGTGCAAAGAGCGCCCAATGCTTCTCAGTGCAGTGTGTTGAACATTCAGCACTATCTCAGGGACTCGTAGCCAGCCATGATGAGCGTTGTGAGGACAACGAACTGGACACTGCATTCTCGTCAATCTCAATCACCAACCACCGTGGAGGTAAGAACTAACTTATAGCCCTAAGTTCTAGTGATTTTGCAGGAGAATTCGAAGCTCTCTAGTTAACAACTTTGAAGTTATTTGAAAATATTGGTCGTATTTTAACACCTCAACCGTTCCTGGAATGTCCCTGAAGTTCTCGGAAATTTCCACTGAAGTTTCCGTTGCTTACCTCATGTTGCCATAACATTCCTCGAATATACGGAACTTCCTTGAAGCTCATTTTTCCGACACTCCCCTTAAAGGTCTAGGCATAAAGTTCTCGGAACTTCCCCGAAAATCTAGAAATAGTTAAACAATTGTCGGACCACCTCAGAAGTACTCGGACTTTGTAGAACATTCTACACATTCCAAAGTTTCCAGGAAATTCCGAGAACTTTTCAAAACTATTCGAGAACTTTCCTGGAGATCCTGAAGACTTTCCCTCAAATTTCGCGAACTTCCAAGAAAGCCCGAAGGTTTCGAGAAATTCCCAGAATTTCCGAACGCTTTCCAGTGTTAATTGCGTCACGCGAAAAGTGGCCAGCCTTTGACACAGATTGCCACATTTTCCTCAACCTTCCTCTACATTGTTACGTTACACAATCATTGACCAAACGCAAACCGACTGAAATTCTATGGACTTCTTGGATGTTATACGAACCGCTCGGAAGTGCTTCGTATAACATCTGTAGAGTTTCCGAACAGACCGTAGAACTGCCAAGTAGTCTGTACAAGTTTTGAGAGGTTCGTTGAACTTTTGAGAAGCCTTTAGAATATCTGAAAGGACCGTGGATCTTGCGAAAAGTCCGTAGAATATCCGAGAAGCCCATAGAACTTCCAACAAATCCGTTGAAATTCGGTGTGGTATATCCGAAGCACTTCCGAGCGGTTCGTATCACATCCAAGAAGTCCATAGAATTTCAGTCGGTTTGCGACCACATCGAATTTCAACGGATTTCTTGGAAGTTCGAGGATTTATTTTTCGGAAGATCTGCTGACCTTCCATGGACTTCTCGGTAATTTCAACGAACTTCTCGAAAGTTCTGTGGGCTTCTCGGATATTCTACGGACTTTTCGCAAGATCCACGGTCCTTTCAGATATTCTACAAACTTCTCAAAGGTGCAACGAACTTCTCAAAAGTTGTAGACTTCTCGGAAGCTCTATGGTCTTTTCAGAAACTCTGTATATTGTTATAGGGACCAATCAGAAGTGCTTCGGACATCTCAGATATTCAACGGACTACACAGAATATCAACGGATTTCGAGGGTTTTTTTCTTTCGGAAGATCCGTGGACCTTCTATGGACTTCTCGGAATTTCAACAAACTTCTCGAAAGTTCTATGGGCTTCTTGGATATTCTACGGACTTTTCGCAAGATCCACGGTCCTTTAAGATATTCGACAGACTTTTGAAAGTTTTACAAAAGTTCACCAAACTTCTCAAAAGTTGAACAGACTTCTCGGAAGTTCTACGGTCTTTTCGGAAGCTCTACGGACTTTTCGGAACTTATATGGACTTCTTGGAAGTTTTACGGACGTTTCTGGAAGTTCGACGTTCTACTCGGATGTTACGCGAAGCTATCGCATATTGTATGGACTTCTCGGAAGCTCTATAGACTTTTCGGAAGTTTTATGAATGTCTCTGATATTCTACGGACATTTCGGAAATTCTACAAAGATTTGGAGGTTCTTGAAACTTCTCAACAGTTGTACAGACTTCTCGGAAGTTCTATGGTGTTTTCAGAAACTCTCTATATTGTTATAGGGACCTATCGGAAGTGCTCCGGACATCTTGGATATTCTACGGACTACATAGAATATCAACGGATCTCGAGGGATTTTTCTTTCGCAAGATCCGCGGACCTTCTATGGACTTCTCGGAATTTCAACAAACTTCTCGAAAGTTCTATGGGCTTCTTGGATATTCTACGGACTTTTCGCAAGATCCACGGTCCTTTCAGATATTCTATAGACTTCTCAAAAGTTCACCAAACTTCTCAAAAGTTGAACAGACTTCTCGGAAGTTCTACGGTCTTTTCGGAAGCTCTACACACTTCTTTGAACTTCTATGGACTTCTTGGAAGTTTTACGAACTTTTCAGAAGTTCTACGGTCCGCTCGGATGTCATACGGACTTATCGGATGTTGTATGAGCTTCTAGGAAGTTCTATAGTCTTTTCAGAAGTTTTAGGAACGTCTCTGCTATTCTACGGACAAGTTCAACTGTCTCTTCGAAAGCTGTACAGACTTCATGGAACTTCTATGGACTTCTTGGAAGTTTTACGAACTTTTCGGAAGTTCTTCGATCTTCGTGGATGTTATACGGACTTATCAGACGTTGTATGAACTTCTAGGAAGTTCTATAGACTTTTTAGAAGTTTCATGAACGTCTCTACAAACTTTTCAAAACTTCAACAAACGTCGCAAAAGTTCTACGAACTTCTCAAAAATTGTACAGACTTCTCGGAAGTTTACGGTCTTTTCGGAAGCTAATCAGACTTCTTGAATCTTCTATGGACTTCTTGGAAGTTTTACGGACTTTTCGGAAGTTCTACGGTCTGCTCGGATGTTACGCAAAGTTATCGGATATTGTATGGACTTCTCGGAAGCTCTATAGACTTTTCGGATATAATAAGACTTTGATATTCTACGGACATTTCGGAAAATCTATAGATTTTTGGAAGTACTACAAACTTCTCAAAAGTTGTGCAGACTTCTCGGAAGTTCTACGGTTTTTCGGAAGATCTACAGACTTCATGGAACTTCTATAGACTTTTTGGAAGTTTTACGGACTTTTAGGAAGGTCTTGACTTTTCGGAAGTTTGATGAACGTCTCTGCTATTCTACGGACATTTCGGAAATTCTACAGACTTTTGGAAGTCTGTGTCAGTTGCAAAGTTCTCAAAAGTTCAACGAACTTTGCAATAGTTCTACAGACTTCTTGGAAGTTCTACTGTCTCTTCCAAAGCTGAACAGACTTCTTGGAACTTCTATGGACTTCTTGGAAGTTTTACAAACTTTTTGGAAGTTCTACAGTATGCATAGATGTTATACAGACCTTTCAGATGTTGTATGGATTTCTAGGAGGTTCTATAAGCTTTTCAGAAGTTTTATGAACGTCTCTACAAACTTCTCAAAAGTTCAACGAACGTCGCAAAAGTTCAACGAACTTTGCAAAAGTTCTACAGACTTCTCGAGAGTTCTACGGTCTTTTCGAAAGCTCTCCAGACTTCTTGGA